GAAATATACAGTCAGTATGCCAGAAAAGAATCTCGATTTGCTTGAACAGGGGCCGCGAGGAATCGGTAGGTAATGATGACGTGATGAAGACAGAAAATTCCGAAGGGACCGCTTAGGTAGATTTTGTGACATTTATTGTGCAGTCATAATTCGATACTCTTTTGCGTTACGTGTTATCAGTGACATTGTGTGGAGCAGTTGTTTCAGTGAAAGTTATGGACCAAAAGACACTCGTTAAGCGCAGATGAAGTTATAAGGTGCGTACAACCGTGGATATATAAACACTTGGAGAGTTTGCCAGACACGAGTTCACAAATCTTTGATTGGAAACCTTGCCAGACACTCTTTGTCTCTTTCTGACGGGAATAAGACTCAGCCCCAAACAAGCAAGACGAGTGAACAACGGCTAGCTTATCACTAGCAGAACGATGGACGATTACAGAAATTCGCCGGCAATCAAATTCTGTGCTGACTTATTCCCTGCTCACAGAAGTCCTTCCGCTATAAAGCCGCTCGATGATCCCACCCGTCTTCTTCTTCGCTGCTCTCGCGGAAGTTTAGGTCACCGTTCTTCCGATGTTAAGTCTTCCACGGCAAAGATTTCCAGTCACCTGTCGAATCGGGCACTGTTGTGTTTGCAGCCCGCTAGCGCTGTTGTTTGCTTCAGACATACTTTGCAATTTGCGATTCGCCAACAGTAAACAGAGGATGAATAAAATTAGCCCAAAAGCCCTGTCACAAAAACTGTAGGTCTTCTGCAAATCTTCGAGTCTGCAAGTCTGCTAGTCTGCAAGTCTGCAGGTCGGCAGGTCTGCAAGTCTGGAGTCTGCGTTTGTCGCACACCGTACTTCACATGCTCTTTTTTACGGCGGCCATCTTGTTATGCGCAGTAAGAGATGCGCAGTGCAAAACCAGGGAATCACCTTAAATAACAAAAAATAATGATAATAAAATCGTTATTATGTTGAAGCGTATCTCCATTAAAGTTCATTCAAACACTCGACCACACTGACAGCTCGCACTAAAAATGAGAACCGGCTGGCCGTATGGGTGATTTTGGAAATTGTTTGAACGGTTTCGCTAAAAGCCCACGATTGATCGTCCTGAACATTGAAAAATTGTGAAATGCCGTATTCTTTCCGAGGTCTGTATGATAAAAGTATTTTTTCACCTCAGATGCGATGTATAAAAAGTATAAAAAGTTGGTTTACACACCCTTAGATTTGTTGGCAAGAATTTGTAAAGTAAACCTCTCGAACGCAAAAAGATGCGGCCTGATTTGTTTTCCAAGAATTTGTTTTAGAGGCCTAATCTACTGTGATGAAGAACCATTATGGCTCTTGAATGTGATAGAAGATGTTTGCTATTTTTTGGGTGTACATATATCTAGGCTATCAACTCGATGTAAGATGTTTCACTCTAGAATAACTTATNTTATTATGTTGAAGCGTATCTCCATTAAAGTTCATTCAAACACTCGACCACACTGACAGCTCGCACTAAAAATGAGAACCGGCTGGCCGTATGGGTGATTTTGGAAATTGTTTGAACGGTTTCGCTAAAAGCCCACGATTGATCGTCCTGAACATTGAAAAATTGTGAAATGCCGTATTCTTTCCGAGGTCTGTATGATAAAAGTATTTTTTCACCTCAGATGCGATGTATAAAAAGTATAAAAAGTTGGTTTACACACCCTTAGATTTGTTGGCAAGAATTTGTAAAGTAAACCTCTCGAACGCAAAAAGATGCGGCCTGATTTGTTTTCCAAGAATTTGTTTTAGAGGCCTAATCTACTGTGATGAAGAACCATTATGGCTCTTGAATGTGATAGAAGATGTTTGCTATTTTTTGGGTGTACATATATCTAGGCTATCAACTCGATGTAAGATGTTTCACTCTAGAATAACTTATCCTTTCCCTCAAAAGTCACATGAATGTGCCCTTAAGTTAACTGACTTGTGGATTACAAGTTTATTGTTTGATTTAAAATATAAATTTATTAATGGGAGCTTCGCTTTTAGCCCTGGCTAAATCTATATATTATTTGTATTTATTTGCCACACGATCACAATTACAAACAGATACAAAAACATGTAAGAAGAAATGGCGAGGAGGCCTAAAGGAATCTATAAAGCTTATGTTAATTATCGCTTCTCAATTACAATTTTTCAAAGATGGCATAAATTTACGGCAACGGATACAAAATATTATCAGATGGAAAATTAAAGTAACAATCAATATTAGGAAGTTTACAAATGTTGAATATTAAACAGCCTTTTCCTAAGAGATTTTTGTTGGAGTATACTAATAATAATTATTATTACAAATAAATGACTCAAGTGCTCTTTTAAAGGAAAAAGTGGAGGAAGCGTTGAGGATGATGTTAGTCTTTAAGGTGTTATAGAAATAGTTGCTTGGGAGACTAATCAAAGTGTGATGTTTTGCCCCTTGGATGTGGTGTCAAACTTCCCTTTCTTTCCAAAAAATGCATTAAAAAATCCTTCGGTTATCCCGTTGACTATAAATCAGGAAGCCAAATATTATGTATCTGAGTACTCTACACAACAGCTAAATATTTGCTTCACTATTAGTATTATTATTAGTTTATTATTATTTTTATTACTGTGTCAACGAAAGATACGATTTCTAATTGAGTCGTTGGCTGCTCTGTGTGTTTGTGGGCGGCCTGTGCATATTCCGGACGTGAGGAAACAAGAAAATAGATTGTTGGTGTCGTCAGTATGTTGGTTCCACATCTGCGCCATCTTGAAACGTGACAATAGCATCATGCATGCCGAGCGTGCCATGCGCCATTTTGAAATGCCATAATAGTATGCTTGCATCACAAAAAAATAAGGGAATAAAATTGACTGCAAAAACAGTGGATGGAGATCCTGCTGGTTATATAAAACGTTGGATCTCTAGATGAGAGATCTAATCAGCCAAAATGTTATGAACCTGAGATGCCAAAGAGCTTTTATTTGAATGGAAAAACTACATGACTTCGTACAAAAGTAATTTTGTGTGAGAAATCAACTCCCCATAACTTGGTGAAGGAAAAAAAAGGATTAAGGTGGTGGGAACCGATACAGGTGCCTCAGGCCCTAAAGAAATGCACTATAATCTACGATTACTGCTAGTTATTATTATTCACCTAACAAAACATGAGAAACGGACCCCAAATAGACGCGAAAAGAACAACATAATAAAAACTATAAACTATAATATATAGATATATGTATAGACCAGTAGGTGAACTACTCAAATCCTGAGTGCATGGGTGTAATACAAGCTTGTTTCGTAGGCCACCGAAAAGATGGCATAAAGACAGGTCACTTTCCACCGGTCAGAACACAGGTCCCCATGCCTATGAAAGAAGACTTATTTATTAACCAGTAACGCTCAACTTTCGAAGCCGAAGATTCAGGGCGTGAACTTGTACTTTAGACCCTGCATACTGGAATAAAAAACATCATATTGAAGGTCCTACCTTCCGAAAGGTCAGAATATCTGTCACTGGGGATTTAACCACGCTAGAAGCCATCTACTCGGCTTATTTCTACGGATCGATGTTGTCGATGTGCTTTTTATAATATAGACTGTCTCGGAAAGATTGTAACCAAAGTTTGTAAGAAATGCAAACAGCACCACCCACGGAACGTCTATGAAAACCTGACTTTTGGACCGTTTCCTTTTTTCCACTTCATGTATGCTTCATTTCGGGGTGTTACGGCTAAAAGCGGCTCAACGATGACCCCCGTCCTGGCCAGGATTTTTTTCCCGACGTCATTGGACCAGGAATTCATCGTTCTAAATCTAAAAAAATATAAAAAATGCAGATAATTACACTGGAAGTACTTCATAAACATTAACACTATTGAAACTCTCTGAGAGCACAGGTTATGTATTAAAAGGACACAGGTACTTTCGCTATAATGTCGTTTTCATACGAACCGAAAAATTTCGATCACTTCTTTGTCTTACATAAAAAAACGATATAGAAAATGATAAATGAACTTGCTATAAAAATACTGTTTCCTTCGTTACTCACCCTCCCAAATATATTGAAAAAGGTCGAAAACCCACAACAACTAGAGTTGAGAGTCGGTTTGAGAAGATGTTGGGGCGAGGGGTCGTGGAATGACACCTTCATGCGTGGCATGCGACAGACGATTTTGCGCCATTGCAGCATGAGGCACTTGAGGCAGCGAAAAGGGCGGGAAAAAGCAGATATAAAATCCCCACTTTTGACTGTCCAGGCCAGTTGCGACTACATCCAGACTATCGAGGTGAGTTGCTTGTACTTCAGTATTTTTTTAATACTAATCTTCTTTTCTTTGTTTAAACTATTTTTTGGACTGTTACTACAAGTATATGTTGATTGTTAAAACTTATTTTCGTCTGAAACTGAAACTCTTTCTTACAATTTTCCATTTCTAGATTAAAAATGGCTGAAGCAACTAGCTAAGCTTTAATTAAAATAACATCACAACCTGGACGTTTCTTACACGAAGTCATTTTGAAGAAACGACAATTCACTGTCGTTGGCTTTTTCAGTTTTTTCTCTCCATTTACAGTTTTCTACAATTTATATAGATTTTTTTTTAGTGAGCGAAGTAGATGTTCTGGCGAGGAACATTTGGAGGAAGCCGTAAGAGAAAATTATAACTTCGTAAAATGGGCTTAAAAATACTGCCTTCCATGGGAACACAAGAGAACTTAAGAATGCATTAAACAATAGAAGGGCAGGGGTGCATAGAAAAAAATCCCTAAGGTGACTTAAAAGAAAATTTGAGATGTAAGGAGCAGTATTTTTACCCCCTCGCCCCTCGTACATTGGGTTTGGGTTATTTTCTAAGCAAAACTGCAATGGCATAGGAATATGCTTGAATGAACATAAAATTACTTTCCAGATCTCAATCAAAATGCAATTCAAAACCTTGTCAGAAAATCAACTGAAAGTCACTTAGGGATTTATTTTGCGCATTGTTAATAAGCAATTATTTATTTACAATACGCTCCATAATGTCCAATAATGCCTTTGTTTGCTGCTGCTGCTGTTGCATCGTGAGAAGTGTTTGTTGTTGCTGTTGCTGCAACACTACCTTTAGAAGCCGACTCTGCTGCTCTTGGAACTGCTTCTGTGCATTTGCAGAAACTTCCATTTGTTTCTTCTCAAACTCTTGTCGATCTCTCTTCAGCTTCAACTCCTCCTGTATAAGCTCGTAGTTAATGTCAGCTCTTTGTGACAGATAAGAAATTGCACTGCTGCCACTGCGTCGTGGTCGCTTACTTTGATTATCCTCCATCCCATCTGATTGCCTTTTTTGAGTGTCTTTCAATTTTTCCATTGCTTTTAACCTGATATCGTCAGCTTTTGCTCTATCACTCTCTATTTTTCGGTTCTTCTCCCGACCAGTTTCCTGTTGCTCTGCCTCTGCACTTTCTTTCAGGGCAATTATTTGCTCTAACAGGTCTTCCAACTCTGTCGGCTCATCAGGTACAATACCAGTTGCCTTTTCTTCAGCTCTCAATTTCTTTTTATGCCTGTTTTGTAATATTCCAACATGATCTCTAACAGNGTTTCCTGTTGCTCTGCCTCTGCACTTTCTTTCAGGGCAATTATTTGCTCTAACAGGTCTTCCAACTCTGTCGGCTCATCAGGTACAATACCAGTTGCCTTTTCTTCAGCTCTCAATTTCTTTTTATACCTGTTTTGTAATATTCCAACATGATCTCTAACAGATCGCTAGTCAACATTAAATACCAGACAGGAACAATTATTCAGTGTTGTAGCCACTTTATCCCAAATTGTACTTCGTTGTGTTGAGCCTTTTTTGTAGTGAATGGATTAAGATTAAGAACTTCACGGCATAGTATCAAATCGTGATCTCTGGTCCTAAACATTACGGAACTAAAATAGATAATGTGAATAAGTGAAGGTATACACAGACTGATGTGTCTGTTCACTGTACATCTGACAGTATACATGTACATCAAGTTTACAAGTTCACAGTGTCCTCATTTAGGGCTTGTATATATCTGTATGTATCTGTACTGATTCAACATGGCCAGTAGAGAGTTGAGAGTTGGCAATAACTAGAACTTAGCTCAGGGGACTGATTCAAGACCTGCGCATACCTGAAAGCGAGCCAGCCTATCAGAGAGCTTGAGGCTGCAGCATAACTGGGCTGCCAAGAGTCTAAAGGGAGACCCTATACTGGGAAAAACAAGTAAACCCACCACCCGGTGGCCAGAAAGGAATTTACTAGCTAACCCAGAAATTCCAGGGGCTGATAGTTCATTGACTGGGCTTTCCAACACAGCTGTGCTTGAGGTTGTCTGCCCCTCCCCCATCCTTGCCTTAAAATTTCTCATTGGAGAGCCATGCTTTGTCAAATCTGCACAGATATACTTAATAATATTGGGTTTTGTACCACACTAAAACAAAGGTATCCCGGGGTGGATCAGGTGGCTAACCAATCCTCGAAGATCTATCAAAACAAGGTTAACTCAATCTCTGATAAAATATTTTTACTTTATTAAAGGTGACTTCTGTGTGTATTCTGGGAAGCTTACAGACGTGTTTTATTTCTATAGAATGTGCTTACGTAAGCACATTTGCAAAACTACAGTATGCATGTGCAGGGGAAACAAAGTAAGATTGTTTATTGCAAAATGGATGGAGAAGCCAAAACCCGACTGTGTAATTCCAACCATCTCTAAAATGTTAAAATTTTATCTGTAGAATAATCTTAAAATCACGGCGCTTCAACCAGAACTTAAATCAATTTCAAAAGCTATTTAGAGACATCGGATCCTAAATTTCACAACAAATTTGCCCAAACCTATCCCTATCATTATTAATTTTCACAGAAAGCAAAAAAAAACACTTAAAAGAGATCCCACTGACACGTGAGGCAATTAGGCCAAACTAAAGCTTACCTCGGAGGTTTGCTTGAACCTGAACATGGCTCTGCCATTGTCAGGAGAGTGTGCAACCTGAATAAAAACGTTAGGAGCGTTAAAACAGCATGATTTTCCACGCTTATCTTTCCTTGAAAAGCATAAATATAGTTCTAGTTGCTATATCTAAAAGTTAAATGGCTAATATATCAATTTCTTTGAAGAAATATAAAGCTGACTACNACTTAAAAGAGATCCCACTGACACGTGAGGCAATTAGGCCAAACTAAAGCTTACCTCGGAGGTTTGCTTGAACCTGAACATGGCTCTGCCATTGTCAGGAGAGTGTGCAACCTGAATAAAAACGTTAGGAGCGTTAAAACAGCATGATTTTCCACGCTTATCTTTCCTTGAAAAGCATAAATATAGTTCTAGTTGCTATATCTAAAAGTTAAATGGCTAATATATCAATTTCTTTGAAGAAATATAAAGCTGACTACTCACGTTTTCTCCACAACGCCAAAGTGCTCAGGTTGACGTTTCAGACGCCAGCGCAACGCAATGACAATCCAACATGAGCATGCGCAGAATCCTCGTCTCCGAAAAAAATTACTTCTGGCCGCGTATTGTAGACATCGCGTCCTCTATCTTAAAGTGCCTAATATACACGAAAAAGTTACTCAATTCTGATTGGCTGAGAAAGGAGTGCAGCTCCCCTGTAACACGAGCGCAAAATGTGTAAGACGAGTGCAAACTTGTAGCACGAGTGCAAATTACAAATGCTTCCTGATTGGCTGAAAACACAAAAGAAACCAACAAGAACCAATCAGATTAGAGCTGTTTTGAAAACAAAAATTCAAGAAAATAGCCATAGTTTTCAGCAGACAACGACGGGATTTAATTTTGTAAGCAAAACAACAATAGAAAAGTTAGAAAAATATTCCAAAAACCCGAACACAGTAAAAAGTACGTCTTTCTGGCTAAATGTATTGAAAAGGCGTTGCTAAGGGAAAAATACTGTCAACAAAATCGAGGAAAATGAGCGAGAGAAACTAAAAAACAAGCTACTTATAACAGACAACGCTAAAGTAAAAAACTAAAGAACAAAAACGGTTGTAACCACACGCAAACCATGACAGCTACACTCTTCAGGCATTTAAAAGAACAAGGATACAATTCCATGATAACAACAGGGATTTCATGTCACGTACGTTATTTGTTGCTCTCTTTGAGTCTTTTGTGGGGCGAAGACCTTTAAACATCCATGCGATGCTCTGTTTTTTTCTACCTCAGTAGCAAACAAAACCGAAAATTTACACATCTGGTCCAGACTAAACCAATGGGCGAAAATTCCATAACCCACATAATGAAAGTATCCGTAGCTGGTACTAGCCTTAAAGAAAGTGTGAGAAGAGTTTACGAATCATTGTGCGAGACAAACAACAGTCAGGAAGCTGAAGAAAGCAAAGATTGTAAGTTCAGAACATATCGTCAACGACGAAGAAGAGCTACGATGACTCTTGCAGTAGGCCAAATGAAATAATGAAAACTCCAGCGCTGAGTAAAAGCAAATATTATACTAATAATGGCATTTTCCGACATCACAACAACTGTGGCTCCACTCACCCATCGAAGTTGCCTCCTTCATTTTCGGGTCTTAAATCTCAAAAATTTCTCCATGAATCCAGCTATGATGGAGTCTCAGGAACAGACAATTATGAACAGTCTTTTCAAAACCTTAGCAAGTGTCTTTCATCTCTGGCTGCTCGAAGTGTTCTCCTGATTTCAAAACGGCAGTATACTTCTTGGAAACGCTTCTTGTAAACGCCGAGCTCTCATAATCGTGGACGAATTTAAAAACTTACTTTTGCTGATTATTGTAAACCAAGTTATCTTTAACATGCTAGTGACGATATAAAAAAATCCTTGCACATTTCCAAGTTCTTAGATAAAATGATTTTGAAAGCGTTGGTCTTCAAAAAGTTTGAATTTGACAAAGGTAGTAGTCCGTTTCAGCCAATCAGTTGAATGAACTAAAAACGCGCGCGCTGTCAAAATTTGTTGTTGTAGTTATGTTTTGCGTGTATATTATTAATAAGTAATCACATGATTTTTCTCGTGCAATTTGGAATAAATAAGCACTTGTAAATTTTTCAAATTTTTCTTCGTTTTCCAATAGCTGTGACGGAAATCTTTCCTCCATTATTCATGAATAGACCAACGATCACCTCCTCCCGCCGTTTGCCAGGCACAGCTTGCAGTAGCCTATTCCAGGCTCCCGATAGTAGGGATAGCAACGGCAAAAATAAGGCAAAAAAGCGTAAGGCACCGGCAAAAATATAAAAGCGTGATCTATGAAAAGGGGGCGGTGGCGGCTATCTTTCAGCCTGGAACAGACGTTTCATTGTACCTTGTTGCTTTTCCGCCAGATCGTTAAATCGGGAGTTCGTTTACAACGATATCCCGATTAAGCTGCTATCTCCCTACCATGTCGTAAAATCGAGCTTCCATTTTAATTTCATATTGGAAATTTCTTGTTGATCTAAAGGTATGTGGTAACTAAAAATTGTTCGAGAAATAATTTCGTTATTTCTCTGCCAGGAATACTTGGCCAGCAAAGGATTCATTCATCGTGACCTGGCAGCCCGTAATATCCTATATACTTGGTGCGGACAACGCGGTGAAGATTGCGGATTTTGGTTTGTTACGCCACGCAAATGAGAGTGGAATATACGAAGTTACGAGCGTACACTAGCTACCAATGAAATAGATGGCACCTGAGGTGTTGGAAAGTGGCATTTTTACTTTCAAGACTGACGTGTAAGTATATGTTAACGAGGTCACAGTTAGGCCAAGCTTAGGCTTCCTGTGATGCAGTGTGAAGTTTAGGTTTTAGATAACATAAACCTCTCAATGTACTGTTTAGAATTGTCTGAAAAAAAAAAGAGCACAATTTTGATCATGACAGTGTCTACAGTAGTGGTAATCACTCTATCTAAGGAAATACTCAAGCTTTTGGAAAACATTAGCCTGTTCCAGGCGTGAAACTTGAAAATAAGATTTATAAACAGAAACTTTGAGCCGATGAAGTTAATCTGAGATCATCTTGGATCCTAGATTCCACACTCCACATCCCGCATTCCAGATACTAGATTCCGGATTCCAACTCAGTGTATTCCAGATCTCAAAAGGCCCAGATTCCAGAATTTCATAGTAAGCAGGATTCCGGATTCCAAAGTCCATGACTCCAAACAAAAATTTCCTGGATTACCATCCATGAGGCTAGATAAAAAAAATTGATATTTCTATGAATTTAATTCTTGCTATCTCTTTATGTGCTTCCTTTTATTGCAGATGGTCTTTTGGAGTTGTTTTGTGGGAACTAGCCACCATGGGTAAGCTAGTATTATAAATCTTTGTATACTGATGCTAGAAGAATAACACTCTAGTCATTTTCCTATACCCGAGGGAATTGAGAGGAATCCCCCATGACAGTAGTTAGGGAAAAGCTGACTGGTCAGTTTTAGGATAGCAATCACGGGAGAATCGAAGAAACATAAATAACGCGATTTAGAACAAATGTGATTGTGTGATTCGTAAATAAATCACACTGCTGAAAGCCAATCAGATTGCAGGGATCACCAGCGATTTCAAAATGAAAAATTAGAAAAGCCTGATAATCTTTGATAAGACAGCATGTCTTTATTTTGTTATTTTAGGGGGTACTCCATACCCTGGGATAAGCCCTATGAGGCTATGCAGTTTACTTAAATCTGGATATCGGATGGAGAAACCCAACACGTGCAGCGATGAAATGTAAGTCAGAATAGAAATAATAAAAGACCTTTGAATAGATGGCAATATAAAGAAATACTTACATAGTACTTCAAAGAGTTTTTTTTTTCTAAAATTGTCAGCCTTTTCCAAGGAGTGGAAACTTCAGCGCGCCTCTTTCCTTTATATTGTCCCATTCTAAAAAGAGCCTATAGAACATAAGTGTCTTCAATATTCAAAGCTAAGTAAATGGAGACATATCTTTGTGTAGTGGTATTTAAAAGTATGGCTTCCTTTTTCAACAGATACAAATTGACGATGGACTGCTGGAAGGAGGATCCAAATGAACGACCCTCATTCGCTTAACTAATACCGATACTGGAAGAGATGATGACAGAAGATACCCCTTACTATTATTTCAGACTACTGGATCAGAACTAGCCATGTTACCGTGAGGCATCCGCTACTAACACCAGTAAAACTAGTACTCTTGATACGAAGCTGTAATTTCTGTAGGGTCTCTATGGTTTAATTTTTGTCAAAGCACCTTTTTTTCTTTAGATTGTTATAGGGGTCTCGGGGGGAAGGTGAAGGCTCCACGGATAAGTAGATTGATAATTGCAGTTGCACCGTCGGAAATACCAAGAAACTATACTCATAAACTGAATGCCGTTGTTTTCATCTTCACTGTTTGCCAGTATTCATAACCAGTCTCCCCAGTTACGATCACATATGTCAGCCAAAGTAGAACACTTTCTAATACCTCATTATGACAACGTCTTTTTCTATATAGATATTTCTTTACGCACAAACATAAAGCTACGCGGAAACAAACGCAACAACTTCCAACAATGTTGAACAATGTTGCGAGTTGTTGGCCAACAAAGTTACGTCCGTTTGCAGGGGGTTAAGCGATACATTTATGGTTAAAAATATTGGCTTTTTGTCTTGTACAGCCAAAGTGAGACCAAAAACTGCAATGTCTACGTCTAAGCGAGACGAGCAAACCCCGTCATTTCATATGAGAGTTCTCTCGCCCAGCGAGGAACAGGACTGAGATGACGAGCACAACTGTTTAATGGGTTATTACAATAAAATACCTAATAATATTTAATTTCATTTGAAAGACATCGAGAAAATACTGAATAGCACTTTTAATATAACAATTGTGGGGACTAAAATGAGTTCATTCTGTACAAATGACTATTAAGTTGTTAGTAGTTCGGATTACTTCTTTTACTTATTTAGTCTGTCCACACCATACTGGAAATAGATGTTCGTGTAGACATGAAAATGTATCCGGTAGTATGAGCGACAACCGTATAGAACTGGAACAAGTCGTCCACACACATCGAACATCGTACCACAGCGGCCGGTTGGCCGAGAGGCCAGTTTGGTGTACTAAATCACAGTGCTCTCTCCTAAAAATATACTTTCATATCAGGTGGGTCCCATCCTATGCTCGCTCCTACTCATTTCACTTGAAAACCTGTTCACACTGCGACGAAAAGTGGCAGAAATATATCCGATATATGATGATCCACTTTTCAAGATCGGCGGCGGCACAGTTTCGCTCCTTAACAGAAATAACGGGAAAATCACCGTTCTTGTATATGAGCTGACAAAAGCAAAATCCGGTGTTACCTTTCGTGTCGGTGCAAGGGCTATCCGGTATAGTGTGACTGATCATTGCCTTCAGAGTTCCTCAGACGCCAGATATTTACCTACCACATAATTCCGTGGCTACAATTCAATGTTACGAACGTTTCAATTGCCTAGGTTAGATTACAACATTGCCACTCGCTATAAAACATGTCATGTCACGTTCACTTGGAGAAACGAACTATTGACTCAAAAAGGTGTGATCAGGAGTAAGGTGATAAAAGGCACTTCGGTTCACCATAACAATATTGCGGCAGTAGAAGAAAAAAAGCTCAATTATTGTAGAGACCTTCGCTGGTGTTGAATAATAATTATAGTGATTATAGTTTAGATTTTTGCGTTCTTTCAAGTAGTGTCATTAGCAGATCACTCGGGAAACCCACGTCTGGGTATGAAAAGTGAAGATTCGGATTATCAGGGCAGTTCGGAAAAAATAACTTTCAATTTCCGACCATTGGTGCCAACACAATAAGCGATGCAAGAACTTTTGTTACAATTTCTGCAGCTAAGGTCTGGTTTGGAAGTCAGTATATATAACACACTATTCTCTGAAGGCACACAATCAGGGCCAGAGGGGGGAAAGAAGTTATCCTCCTCGGCGTTCACTCCATATCCCTCCTCGATCTGCATAATTTATATAATTCCTTTATTTAATGGATCATACAGCAGGAACGAAGTCAGCACCAGCAAGAGCGTTTCGATGGTTGTAGCAAGAACTTAATTGATACAACTACATTTATTCATTTGCTACATATTGCATATTTACATAACAATATTGCTTCATTTTATAATGATAATAATAAATTTTTGAATGGCAGGAGTAAGATAAAATACTGTATTGCAGGGCCAAATTCACAGCCAGGCCAAGAAAACCAGAGGAAACGAAATTCATTACTCTTCTTCCTCTTGTTGCCAGGACATGACGTCCATGGAAATATTGACAGTGGCATATTTCATAAACAAATGTCCAGCTTTTGTCAGTTTCTATATATTTGATGTCATTCTTTAAAATAAATTAAAGGCTTTTAATTTTTATCTGTGTTTGTTGTTTATTTCTGAGTGATACGCTGAGAATCTCGAGAAAAGCAATGTCCCTGTTCCCCATAGGAGCTTAAAATGTATTTGAGATCTATTTGAATACTATTTGTATAATTTAACAGGTTTTCGGCCTGTATATGAAACATATTTTGTATTAAAAGTACGCTTTAAACAGATAATTAAACCATATTTTTAGAACCAAGGTACTGATGAGTACTCACAAGTTTATGACCCCGCAAGACTAACATTCATCATGACCACTGGACACCGATGCTTTTAGTATTTACGTATTGTATAGGAACGAAAATGTACCAACACTTTTTCCCCTCAAACGCTTTAGTTGCCCTCATAGACATCCCCAATAACCTCGTACCTGCTATGTTTTCCCTCAAAACTGCTGGGCACTAAAACTGATATCGATAGACGTCATTTCGCCCCTTCCATTCTGGGACGGGACTCTTACTGTTCTTCTTTAAATCAACTATGCTTGCAATGATTTCGTCCGCGATTATCCCCTGTCCACTAGCTTCCCACAGGGGGAGACGTTCCTCCATCATTTACCTTCCCTCCGTCCTTTGCTCCTATTTTATAGAGGAACCGTCGTAATCAGTGGCAATTTAGGCAGCACAATTTGGAAGCGAATTTTAAAAGCGGAATGAAATGCAAGTAATGTAGCACCAAAACAGTGTTTCTATGTAGGACAAGATCAAAAAACAAGAGTTTCTGTTCACTCTTGGGTGACTGGGTGCACCAATCGATGTCTTACTCATTTAAAAACTGACTCAACTAAAGTAAATATCGCCTAGAACCTCAGCTCTTACCCATGGTTCTCTTAAGGTGACTCTCTTCTTGGTTCCTGATCAGCAAAAGAAACATTCAAGTCAATCAAAAAGACACTCAGGACTCGGCCATACACTCTAGCTGCCTGAAGGCCTTAAATCACGGAGGGTGCTTGAGACTTAACCAAGTTCTTAGCAGAGAATTCAAGGTTCAATCATCCCGCAGCCTAGCACGTGCTTTAGGGGAATGCTTTCATTGGCCAATGGGCCTCAAACATTAGAAGAATTTGACATGAAAAACTAAAGGCAGACATGACTAGTGCACTGACTATCCCAGAACAAGACTAACGGAAGGTACCACGCTTTTGCAACACACTCCCCCCTAGGGATTGACATGGAGGCCTCTTCCCAACCCATGGCGAGTTAACTCAGGGACTGAGCTTGACAACTGAGACCAACCAGGACAGTGACCAGAAACCTGGCTGTCGCCAGGTAACTGTGCGAATATTCTGGCCCGTTTTGAGGTATGTTTTTAAAAAATTCGGCTAGATGTATATTCCATGATATTCGGTTTTCAAGATCTTGTTTTAGTCCAAAACCCGGTGAAGCGATAGTGTATTTTTATTGCTGAGTACACTCCATTAATTCCTTGAACTCAGCTTCCCGTGAAGCATGAAATGAAATGTTAATTTTCAAAGACTTGATCATTAATTTCAGCCAAAACGTCTCTTGACGTGCCCACCCATTACCTGAAAACGCGGTCAGCAAACTGCGCACGCATTGGTCTTGGGTTATCATCACGCCAAATAAAATGGCTCGACCAAGGGCCATCGCTCGGCAGGAAATTGTATGCTGTGATGTGCTTTGATATCGCCAACAACGCGCTCTTACGTTAGTAAAATCAAGACCATTGACTGTTCACGAAATTCGAAAATCTAGCTATGATCGATGAATCTGATATAGAAAGAAGGTTTCTTGAGGAGAAGGCGGAAATTGTTCGAGGATTTCTGCAAGAGAGAGAGATTATTGATCGCGCCCTCGAAGACGAGAAAAATGATACGCGTTTAGCTTTTGAAGTGGAGAAGGACAACATGAGAAAAGCCTTTGAATGTGAGAAAGAAGAAATGCGACAGAATTTCGTTAAAGAGAAAGACAACATCCGCTTGGAATTTCAGGAATCGAGACATGTTTTCAAGCTCTCTATTGAAGACGAGAAATCTGCGTTGATAAAATCATGGGATCGTGAAAAACAGACTCTTCTTGACAATCACAACAAAAGAAGAATGAATTAAGAGCTCAATTTGAGCGACTTTTAAGAGAGAAAGAGGAAGGATTTAAAGCCGAAAAGGCTGAAATGGAAGCGAAGATTCGCAAAGAGCTTGAGGGAATCGAGGAAGTAAAAAATGAGCTGAGGCGGACATTGTCGCAGGGCTTAGGCGATCTAGAGAATGTTTACTTCGAGGAGAACGCGTATCACGAGACCCTCTATAATCATGATCAACCAGAGGTTGAAATGCACTTTAAAAGTATATTAGATGCCGAAATGAGCCTGGATAAAGGGGAGCTGTTGAAATCACTCAAACAAGAGAAGAACAAAATGCGTTCTCACTACGCCAATAAGCACAAGTTAGTAGAGCACCATTTCGCGCTGGAAATCGTTGACATGGAACAGAGGTTCAAACAGCAAAAGAACGATTTGATGAACATTTTAGAAGGGAAAAGTCGGACATGGAAAAGGGCTTTATTAAAGAAAAGGAAGACATCAGACGTAAATTCGAGGTGGAATTTCGCAGAATACTTCAGCAACAGAGGCTGAAATTCGAGTCGGAAATACAAGGTTACGAGCACGACATCTCTGTTTTGAAATATCAAGTGCTTTTCCTTAGAAATGCAAACATTGAAATTAAAATTCAACCACGAGAAGCTCGAAATTGAGAACAGGTTTAAAAACGAGAAGAAGGACCTTAAGAGGGTTTTGAAAGGGCAATACGAGAGAAAGCTGAGTGGGGATAAACTCCGGTTTGAATGGCTACTAGATCAGTTTCAGCTTGGAAGAAGAGCAAGCACTGACCAATTGGACTCTAATGATTCGGCTTTCAGCACAAGTTCTATTTATTCCGATTAATCTTTACAGAACATGCTGATGAAGTGCCGGGAAAACTGAACAGGTTTTGAGTCAAATGTAACTTCTCAAGTACCTCAAAACAAATAGCAGTTGATATGGTAAACATGCCTCTGTCGATTTCTACTCGCGCGACTAATATTATACTCGGTCTTTCCCAAATAGTCGCTTAATTTAAGTAAAACGAGCTTCTCCCTGAACAAGCCGATTGACTGTTAGGTGTAGTGAGAAGATTTTTGGTTAATTATCAAGAACAGGCAACACAAATCTAAAATGTTGTGTCACTCGAACAAATACAAATGTACAGGTTTTTTAAATTTATCTTATTTTTTTTTAATTTTTGCTATTCAGTTTCTCACTAATAGTTTTTTTTCCGTTCGCAAATGACATTAAGCGCCTTACCTTGCCAAATGAGACTGAAACAAGACAAATAAAATAAATTACAACAGAAACTAGAAAAAGCCACCGTAAAATTAGATAATATATTATATAATCATTATTCTAATGCATTAGTAAAATTTTGCTTTTTCGTTTGCTGTATGATCCTAGAAACACTGGCATACGGCAGCGTGAAGAGAATATCTCGTGCTGTATGAAAACAAAGGAAGAATTATTCCTGTTATATTATCAGCATGAGTGACATTAATAATTTATGATATTCGTATGGAATATAACTCAGACTCTCAGACTAGTCATGAAATATCAGGAGATTGGCTGAATAGACTGATTTCAGATGGTAAAAATAAAACATAGTTGCCAGGGATGTAACTTTATACCTTTATACCTTTCTGTATACTGCGTATATATACTGATGAATTTAATTTGGGTGTACATATTAGTAAATACTACTAATTTAGAATATATCTGCACTGGATTGAATGAAAATTTTGGTCGAGGTGATTCATGATACCCACCTCAGTCACACTCTTCAGGTAGAAACTTCTTTTTTTTATGAGGTGGACAAGTTCATTTATTTTCTTACTCACGAATCGAATCAGAATCGACCACGACGTTAGTAACCAAAGCTACAAATACAAGGTGAAAGCAACAAAATTTTCAACCAACTGAAGCAAAGAAATCCTTAAATATCTTCTTTATAACTTTGGGAGCCTTCCCTTCACCCTCTGGTCAAGGGGTTGCTTGATTTAAAGAGGAAAAAAATTCCTCTTGAAAACACATTCACCAATGTCACATTGCCCTTAATACACCTTGTTTACCCCCCAAGATTTATCACGACCGTTGTTTCCAATTTCACTGGGGGAGGGGGGAAGGGGGCTGGGAGGAGCTAAACAAGATGGTAAGGTGCATATGGGCAATGTGAGAATGGTGATTCAAACAAAAGCAATCTCCAAATCTCCACTGAGCTAAAGAATCTTATAGCGGAGCTCTCGCGCGCGCGAAGCGCGCGCACAGCGGAGCACCATGGGTAAGAAAATTTGGTTATGACGTAGCGTACGCCCGCCCGCCCACCCGTACAAACATTTTATGTAAGCCGATGTCAAATGTCACAATAGATCTTGCACAACTTGACTAGCCTCTTAGTAATGTAAGCCATCCGTATGAGTTCGTTTAGATTGACAGCTGTGAAAATCAGACATCCGCTGACAATTATCACATGACCATCTCGCGGGCTCAGACGATAGACCAGTCGTTTTGCCCCCTACATATAAGCTGATATAATATATCACATTTACCAATTCAACATAAAAACGAAACTACGCCGGGCAAGGCTGTCAGTTGGCTGACAGTCGTTTAAAGTTATATTGGCAAGCCAAATTAAGGTCAATTGACAGCTGTCAAAATGGGACATGTGCAGACCACTATCAGAAAACTAATATCGTGGGCTCAGGTTCGCTCAGGTACACGATCTGGCATTTTCCACTACATGCCGGACGGATATGTCTTACTCACACTCGTAGTCTGTTATTTCGAATATTCGCCATTCTAATGATGGTTAATTGACAGCTGTCAAACTAGAGTATACGATGACTATCATCAGCTGAGTGTATCGCGGGCTCATTTTTCTATTTATTGAGGTCACGTAGTGTTCAAAGTTTTGCGTTGATATTTTATTTGATCACGGGCTCAATTCGAAGCCCCATAGCTTAGAAAATCTATCCATCCTAGAAAATTCGGCAATCACGTGACCGTACACCGACTAACGGACCTTCCGTCCGTCCTCACCACAGGCATACCATTGTTTAATCTCACACTTTCTAGCTAGTTTGGGAGCCTGCAACCTGATATTGTACATCCATGTTTTGATTAATAGACACCTGTCAAAATAGTGTTTCTGCTAACCAGTATCGCCTGACCGTATCGCGGGCTCAGGTATCGACCAACCGAGTTCAAGTGTTTTTTTGAAGGTATCCGCTGACAAGTTGATCCTTTTCAAATGATCGCAGGCTTAAGTTCAATTTTTTTTTAAATGTTTATGAAATAAGTCGTGTTCATGAGCTGCACTTTTAAAATGTTGATTTCCAGCTGACCTCGAACTTGTCGCCTGGTAAATGCCACATTATGATGCAACAGCTAATGCAAAAACAATACACGAATAGGTCTATTTGTTTTCCAGACCCAATATACCGTGATCGAACATGATTGCTATTTTTTGGTGTACAAATTTAGAATTTGTTCATGCTTAGCGTGTGTATATCGAGTTATGGATGCACGCGGGAAGTTTGGAGAGCGCGAAAGGTGCGTAAGAGTTGCACGAGGCGATAGCCTAGTGCAACTCTAGCTTCTTGAGCGCTCTCCAAACTTCCCAAGTGCATCCACAACTGGATATACGCACAGCTAAAAGCATGAGCAAATTCTTTTATAACATAGCTGACAATAATGCTTGCTTTTTGATTAACTGCAAAATTCTCCTAACGCGCGACACAATAACAAACGGTTCTATTGGCTGATTATGAACACGCCACAATCGTCTAGTTTGAATGAAAATATTCTTTCTGTAAAAGTGAGAAAGAAAATTTGCTTCTTTATTCGTTAACGATCAATATATACTGATGAATTTAATTTGGGTGTACATATTAGTAAATACTACTAATTTAGAATATATCTGCACTGGATTGAATGAAAATTTTGGTCGAGGTGATTCATGATACCCACCTCAGTCACACTCTTCAGGTAGAAACTTCTTTTTTTTATGAGGTGGACAAGTTCATTTATTTTCTTACTCACGAATCGAATCAGAATCGACCACGACGTTAGTAACCAAAGCTACAAATACAAGGTGAAAGCAACAAAGTTTTCAACCAACTGAAGCAAAGAAATCCTTAAATATCTTCTTTATAACTTTGGGAGCCTTCCCTTCACCCTCTGGTCAAGGGGTTGCTTGATTTAAAGAGGAAAAAAATTCCTCTTGAAAACACATTCACCAATGTCACATTGCCCTTAATACACCTTGTTTACCCCCCAAGATTTATCACGACCGTTGTTTCCAATTTCACTGGGGGAGGGGGGAAGGGGGCTGGGAGGAGCTAAACAAGATGGTAAGGTGCATATGGGCAATGTGAGAATGGTGATTCAAACAAAAGCAATCTCCAAATCTCCACTGAGCTAAAGAATCTTATAGCGGAGCTCTCGCGCGCGCGAAGCGCGCGCACAGCGGAGCACCATGGGTAAGAAAATTTGGTTATGACGTAGCGTACGCCCGCCCGCCCACCCGTACAAACATTTTATGTAAGCCGATGTCAAATGTCACAATAGATCTTGCACAACTTGACTAGCCTCTTAGTAATGTAAGCCATCCGTATGAGTTCGTTTAGATTGACAGCTGTGAAAATCAGACATCCGCTGACAATTATCACATGACCATCTCGCGGGCTCAGATGATAGACCAGTCGTTTTGCCCCCTACATATAAGCTGATATAATATATCACATTTACCAATTCAACATAAAAACGAAACTACGCCGGGCAAGGCTGTCAGTTGGCTGACAGTCGTTTAAAGTTATATTGGCAAGCCAAATTAAGGTCAATTGACAGCTGTCAAAATGGGACATGTGCAGACCACTATCAGAAAACTAATATCGTGGGCTCAGGTTCGCTCAGGTACACGATCTGGCATTTTCCACTACATGCCGGACGGATATGTCTTACTCACACTCGTAGTCTGTTATTTCGAATATTCGCCATTCTAATGATGGTTAATTGACAGCTGTCAAACTAGAGTATACGATGACTATCATCAGCTGAGTGTATCGCGGGCTCATTTTTCTATTTATTGAGGTCACGTAGTGTTCAAAGTTTTGCGTTGATATTTTATTTGATCACGGGCTCAATTCGAAGCCCCATAGCTTAGAAAATCTATCCATCCTAGAAAATTCGGCAATCACGTGACCGTACACCGACTAACGGACCTTCCGTCCGTCCTCACCACAGGCATACCATTGTTTAATCTCACACTTTCTAGCTAGTTTGGGAGCCTGCAACCTGATATTGTACATCCATGTTTTGATTAATAGACACCTGTCAAAATAGTGTTTCTGCTAACCAGTATCGCCTGACCGTATCGCGGGCTCAGGTATCGACCAACCGAGTTCAAGTGTTTTTTTGAAGGTATCCGCTGACAAGTTGATCCTTTTCAAATGATCGCAGGCTTAAGTTCAATTTTTTTTTAAATGTTTATGAAATAAGTCGTGTTCATGAGCTGCACTTTTAAAATGTTGATTTCCAGCTGACCTCGA